GCCAGTAATGTCCTTGCACAGAAATAACATAAAAGCAAAAACGTGCACATAGTTGTACACAATAGAATAGTAAAAGGTTAATTACTTGGATATGATAAATTCTAATTCAAATATCACGAAGCCGTAACTAATAGGAATATTAATGTTTGCTACCAGACCGCTACTATAAAGATATCAATAGGGATTTGAGTTCACGTAAGATCAAAGGGATATAACTGGCAACACTTACGATTAGTGCGAACAATAAAGCAAGCCAGCGATGCATAGTTACAATACCAAGTAAATAAAGGTGGTAATACACTGAGATAGTTTTATACATACCAGGAGAACGATCGAATTTCCACATCGAGACTCAATGGTGTCTTCAAATTAAAAATATCTTTATGTACATATCTTCAAATAAATTTTAACTACGTCTTTTACGTTCGTACATTTTTTTAAATGTAGAAAAACATCGCGATCTTCGTTGTGACTATCATAATCATAATGTTAAGAGTGGGCGCAAACTTTTGACTAAACCGTCGCACAACTGTTGTGCGATTGTCGATTGTTCCGCAGCCCATTCAACTGTTTAGTTGCACAACTAGAAATCGAGTAGTGTGCGCACCTCCATAGTGCATAGAAATCGAAACACGTCTAAACAGTGCATAGTTTAGTCAAAGGTGTGCGCGCGCTCTAACATTTCTTGACAAACCTCTCGTGTGTTACCACTCTAACATTAATAACAAGAATTTGTTTACATTCTGAATCAATTAAATAAAAATATTTTACATTCAATATTTTAAAATATTACTATTCATTGAATACATTCTTAATATATTTCCGTCTTCAGTTACATCGACATATTCGTAGTTAAAAGCATACATAAACGTCAAGGTTTACAGTCATCTTAAAGGGATCAATTCAATAAAATAAATAAAAAAACCATAAACCTTGGTCTAAAGACGTATGAACTAAAATGTGTGTTTACGAAATGCAAGTGTTTGTTCAAGTGAAAATTTCTGTGTAACGTTGTTATTAAAATATAAACTTTTATTGTGATTAACCTTGGATTCGTCACCGACATGGTGTCCTGTTTCTCCTTTGTGTCGTTATGTTTAATTTGGGTAAGTAATGCAATTGTTTTATTTATACGTGTATATCTATGATATTTATTTATTTGTGGATAACTACAGAGTAGATAATGTTAAAACCTTTTTGTGTAGTTATAAATAATCAAATCTTTTTGTTTTATTTAAACTTAAAGATTTCTTTATTTCTGTGTACTAAATCGGTTAAAAAATCTTATTAGATATTATAACACACGTTAGTTGTTATTGAAACAAGTTAATGTATGCAAAATACATTACAAAATGGCTTTTTTATTAAATAAATACACTATCAATACATTGATTAATGAACTACATTAGTACGAATTAAAAGTTTTTGATAAATTTAGTCAACAAATATTAACTCTGCATAAAATTAACAAACCTTTAAACGAAATTAACGTAATTTACTTTTGTTTTTATATTTAACTAGCTGTTCCCGTGCGACTTTATCCGCATGAAATTATGAAAATTTTATTTTATTGTTTACATCTGTCAAATTATCAATTACAAATGTCAAAATGACATGACACGATGACAACCTTGCTTCCTTGATGGCAGCAACTTGTGGTCTCTTTCCCACATTAGGGTTTATATCCAAAATATTTACCCGCTAAGTTCAATGGCGTTAAATATATAGCCTAAAGCGTGACGCAAGTGTAGGGCTTTTTATTAAAAAAAGAATTATTCAAAGATATGCTGTAATTGCTGACATCTTAGGCAACAAAGAAATGTGTGTTTACGCTTATAATTATATTTAATGGGTTTAAATCTTATTTCTAACTAATATCATAAATGCTAAAATTTAGATGGATGGATGGTTTTTTGTTAGTAATGTAGTCTACAAACTGTAATCTGAACTGCTTAACGGATCTCGGTGTCATATGGCATAGATGTAGAGGATAGTCTAGAAGTCCACATAGGCTACTTTTTAATTCCACGCGGACGGAGTTGCGGGCGGGAGCTAGAGTATAAAACACAGACTAATCAATAATTATTTATTAAGAGAATATTCAATTTTTCTCTTTTAGCCATCTCAGCATTCGTAAATTAATTATTAGCTAATTGTTGAAAGTTATTATTTAACACTAGCTTTCGCCCGCGACTCCTTTAGCGCGGAATTTAAAAATGTAAGTGATCTGTGTGTTCTTCCAGACTATCCTCTATATCTATGCTAAATTTCATCGAAATCCGTTCAGCCGTTTAGGTTGCAAACTCTAACAAAAATCCATCCATCTCAACTATCGTATTTATGATGTTAATAAGATATTTTTACATCTTTGTTACTAGCATTAATAGTTATTCTAGTTTATCAAACGTATTTCAAATGTTTAAATAAGGCGTTGCACAGATAATGATCAACGCACCGCCTTCTAAACGATAGCCCAAACCCAATTCCAAGCCGAGGACAGGTAATTCGTTAACTCGCACTTAATCCTAATTAATAGTCTATTAGTAGACGTTTTCAATTACCATACAGTTTGATTTATTCGTCTTAACGCTAACAATTTCCTGATTAATCGTTTTATAGATAATTTTAATCAGATTTTATATATCGATTTTACTTCGTTACGTTCTCACTAGTTGTGATTATGAAGATAAAAGTAAAATCTATTTATCGATTAAAGGCGTGCGCAACCTGGCTCAACTATCGCACAACTGTTTAGTCTTGCTTTGATTCTTATGAGATTATATGCACACCATTTTACTAGTGCAACTAAACTCTTACTGTGCTGCGAAACAATCGACAATCGCACAATAGTTGTGCGATAGTTAATTCAAAGGTGTGCACGCTCTAAACTGCTTCCTTTATCGGTTATCGTTTAAGACTTAATCTGCAAAGATTTTTAAAGATCAGAGGAACAAAGGCATATTAGCAACTTGTGTTCAAAAGAAAAGAATAAGTAGTTTATGTAACGACAGTCCTTTTGTCAGGTTGAATGTATTTTTTTAAATAATGACATAGCGTAACGGAGCCATTTAGGGCAATCACATCAACTCAACAAATGCTTTGATATAATATCCTAAGAAACACGCCCACAGAGAAATAAACAATAAACATGAATAACATATCAATTCCATTAAGATTGCTTGCCTACTAAATTAATAGCAACAGAGGGCCTATCACGAATAATTGATTTACAGTTGCGAGAACATAATCGTAACGTCATCGCCATATGAGATTTGTCTAATATAAATATTGTCGAAGACGCAACGAAATCAGTCTCACGAATATTCGTGATAACCCCTCTGATTTGCCGCAAAAGCAAACGAGACGCCGCCGACGATATAAATACAATTAAGAAATGTTCATATGTCATTTATATTTGGATAATGTCATTAAACATTAATAAAAGACGCCGAAGCTTTTACGGTGGTCCTTAAGAATGACAAAGTTGCCCGCAGAGTTCGTGAAGACAAAGACGAGATAATAAAATTGCTATTAAATTGGGCTTTTAATGTATTATAACCATTAGCAAGACATTAATGTTAGTAAATAACACAACTCATTTGCAAGCAGGGCGCCATGTTGCATACGCCATATTGAACATTTGTTTTAAATTACAATTTGATTATTTACCGTGTATTTGGTCGTGGGATTTGAGATGTAAGGAGTTAAATTTGTATCTGTACGAAGTGAACCGATGGGACTTTGCATATGATGTTTACAAAATGAACCCTTTTTTAATTTCATGCAAAATATCCAATAAGCAATACCTGAATTGCTAACGAAATGACTCAAAAATACTTTGGTTGAAGAGAATTTTCTGTCAATAGGTGTTCAATAAAATCGTAAATTTTATTAGCAGCAAATGTGTTCGACAGTAAGCTGCGGCGACTAAATACATGTTAAGAGATATCAGAATGGTTATTGATACAATAAAAATGCGGGGGAGTAGTAAGAGGAACGTATGTAAACGATGCTTTTAACTTTTAACATCATAAAATGTAAATAAGAGGATTTGCAGATATGAAAGAAACAATATTTAGTTATTTATGTTTAAATTTTAATTGGAAATTCGAAGAAGATAAAAAATGTTCAATTAAATTTGACAACTGCACGATTCTGTATAAATTGCATATTGAGATAATTGCTTTGGCGCCACAGAGTAATCTCTGCATGAATAAGCAAAAATATTAATAATCTCTAGTGTAGCTCTTTAATTTTTTTTAGACAATGTCTTGAGTTTTTTTGTCGCATAAAAGAGATGGCATAAATTTTACAACTTTGATTTTAATCAATAAAATAACAATTCTAGTATTACAAATGAACAGTTCTAAGTTTTGAGAAGCGTCCACAACAATGTATGTAGGCATTAATACGAAGCATTGTGTTCTGTTGTCGACGGTTGGCATCAATAGCGTCGCCGGCCGCACCATAAAGACGTCTCTGCTATCTAATTGGTGCTGTGACTTCGCTTCTATGTATCTTATTTATGTTGCCGTTTGATAAATGTCCCCATTTGACTTCGGTCAAGCCTGTTTCGAAAGCGGCACACATATTTTCAAATATGTTTGACTCTTTAAGCTATATTTATGATTTATTTGTAAGTGAAATAGAAAATTAGATGAGGTTTTAGTCAAGCTATTCACTTGGAATTTCAGTTACATGCGTATTTATATATTGTATTGTTCTCATTGTAATAAGATAAAGAGTCAATTAATCTACATTACTTGAATATCTTATTTTGCATCACTATTTTAATGTAATATAAAGTATGTGGTAGAAAGCGCTACATAAGTGACTGTAACCAAAAGACATTGCTGTTTTATTAATTGAATATCGACTTTGACTAGACTTCCAGTCCTTTTTCTGAGAAGTCACCCTTGTTTATTGTTTGTGCATTTCCACTGTGGCAGCATCTGATAGCTCTATAAAGTATGTTATGTTAAGGTGTATGTTTTGTATAGGCGGTGGGTCGGGAGTCGGTGATGGCGTTAGCGGCCAACCGCGAGCTGCGGTGCGGCCGGCGGCTGGTGTCTGGTCTGTTCACGCGACCGCGGCTGCCGCTGGGCTACTCGCACGTCGCTACCGTACCGCGCGGCGCCTGTCGCCTCAACGTCTCCGAGATACTGCCCAGTGACAATTATATTGGTATATACATGTCATAGCTTAATATGTTGTACAAAACTACTAGTAGAATCATATTCCCTATAACACTTTCCTTTTAATTCTTTCAAACTAGTAATGGATCTGTAATTTTAAATAGCTATAATTTATGAGAGACGTTAGTATGTAAGTCTAATATGTATGTATGTATGTATATGTATGGTTTGTATGTTAACTTAATAACATCTGCGCGGATGTAAGTTAAACGCAGCAAACTAGACTATCGCTGCTATTCATAGAGTAGTGAACCGGTTTCAAAAGATTATCTCTGCAAGTGGATCGATGAATCCTTGGTGACATAAGCTAGCCATTTTACTCAGCGCTCATTCATTAATTCACGATATTGAATGATCCTTTGATGAAGGCAAATGGTCCGCAAACATGAGGCTAGTTGTACTTATCAATCAGTCGTAGATAGAATGACATCGTAAATCATTCCGCGATGTCTACAATGGCAACGCCCACGTTGTTCTGTTGCCACTCAATGGTATGTATTCTATACAATTGTGGTGAATTAGTTTTCATATTAACTGTAAGTCCCTAAAGCATATCTTTAATCGTTCATATTGTGTCTAGTCTTACTGAATACACACACAATTGACATGGATGTTAAAACTTCGTATCAAGGTGTAACTTAAATGTATTTGAGCTATTTGTATTTGTTCAATTTTGTTTCAGCTTTGAAAATGACAAATGGATCGTATGTAATAAATGGAGAGTTCGCCATTAGCACGCCGGGTACATACGACGCCGTCGGCGCTAGATTCATATACTCGAGAGTGCGGGGTCTCGACTCCATCTTCACTCTTGGACCTATACACCATCCTATAGATATTATGGTAGGTCATAATAATTTCCTGCATATTTCAAAAATTGTCTAAAGTTAATTGTTAAATTTTTAATTTTCATTCACACCATCTGTACCTCATCTTCATATACATTAATCGTTTAGATCAATAATAGACTTATAAAAACAGGACACAGAGCCCAAATGGATTTTGTAAAAATGTTTTTTGTCTAATAAAGAGTTTTTTCTTTATTAAAAAAAACGCTAAGCTATAAATGCCCAAAATTGAACATTGGGTATTATAGAAAGTGGAAATATGTTTCAAGCGCTGGTGTGTTGTACTTGATTTCTTTAAATATTACTAGCGTTCGCAAGCGACTCCGCCTGCGTGAAGTTAAATAAACAAAAGTAAGTAGCCTCTGTGTTCATCCAGACTATTTTCTACATCTATACCAAAATTAATTGAGATTCGTTTAGCAGTTTATGCTACAAACTTTAACATCAATCCATATATCTAAACTTTTGCATTTATGATATTAGTAAGATTACTTTAGCTATATATCTAAAGGTAATCAATTTGTTGAAATAATTACATGGAAATTACTGAATCCCTTAAAAATAATACTAATAATTGCATTGCAATTGAAATTTTGGGTCTGTCCCACCAAATTGTAAATAGTCTGATGACAATCTAACGTGTAAATTATGTGATGGAAATATCAGATTTTGTTCCCTTATATGACAGTGACGTCATTTTTAAGCTATCTGAGCCTCTGTCACCTAGTGGTGGGACATGTCCTAAATCTTGTTAATTACCTTTACCTTATAACAATTATGTGTATTTAAATTATCAACTTCCTGTATATTGTTTTATTTAGATTAAACATTTTCAGGTTTTATATACAGTTCCAAATCCTAATATCAAGTACGAATATCTAACGGATTCTCTACCAGGAGATATAAAGACAGAAGAACCAACAACTAAACTGAGCTCTATAGATTCACAAGGCACAGTAACACCAAAACATACGAGAAGACATCACGGTTACGATAATTATCCGAAATTTATTGTTGATAATATGCATCCTGATGTTATTGGCTTATCGAAAGAAAACACTATCGCGAAAAAAGGCTTAGATGAAAATGTAGTTGGAACAAGGAGATTCGTCTGGAAGATTCTATCGTATACACATTGTACTAGAAGTTGTGGTGGCGGAATTCAGGTGAGATGTAGACTATAGTTATGTGATTAACCTAAAGGCTTATCTTCTTGAAGGCTAAGAGCGCGGGTACACCTTTGACTAAACTATCGCACAACTGTTTAGTCCATCTTTGATTCCTATGAGCTTATATGAAGCATACTACTCGATTTTTAGTTGTACAACAAAACAGTTAAATTGGCTGCGAAACAATCGACAATCCCACAACGGTTGTGCGATAGTTTAGTCAAAGGTGTGCGCACGCTC